CGCACGAAGAAAAGCCGAGGCACTCGTTTCGCCGGCCCGTGGGCTTCCTGAGTGCCCCAGGACGTTGTTGCGATCCTCGAGGCCCTCGGGGAACACGGCCAGGAACCTTTTCTTGGCGTGTCGCGGCGGCGACCCCAGCGGCACGCTGTGCTGTGCGAGCGAATCGCATGTCGCTTCGCTCCGCGGAGCGGGTGGCTGGAAAAGGTCCGGGGCGGTGATGCCCGGGGACCAGGAAGTGGTCAGCACGTCGCGCCGAAGCGCGGTGGGCCCAAACCATCGGCGCGGCGCGCCAAGCCACAGTTCCTGACAGCGGAACTCTCTCTGTGGTGCACTTGCCAGCAAGTCGCTTGTGTGCTGTGCCTACAATGCCGTATATACATCCCACTGGTACGCCTCCGCGCTCTGGAGGCACCACTGCTCGCCGATGGGCGCCCTGAGCCAGGGAAGCCCCGGTGCTCCGAAGAATTCAAAGCGGACTCTTCATGCCATGCCCTGATGATGTGCACACGTACGTCGCCAGCGGTATCCCCTGTCATCATCATCATCATCATCATCATCATCATCATCATCATCATCATCATCATCATCATCATCATCATCATCATCATCATCATCATCATCATCATCATAATCACCATCACCATCACCATCACCATCGTCATCGTCATCATCATCGTAATCAGCAGCATCATCATCATCGCCATTGTCATCGTCATCATCATCAACAACATCATCATCAACAACACCATCATCATCACCATCGTCATCGTCATCGGCAATGTTGTCATCATCGTCATAATCGTCACCACCATCACCATCACCATCACCATCACCATAACCGTCATTATCATCATCAGCAGCATCAGCTTCGTCGTCGTCATCGTCGTCGCAGCTACCACTAATCACCATCACGCATTAATCATGCTATAGCATCTTCATATGTACCCAAGCATGCCCACCATCATCATCATCACCACCATCATCATCAGAATCAACATCATCAGTAGCATAATCAATATCGTCATCATCACCATCATCATCACCATCATCATTACTATCTAACCCTAATCATACTCATCCCTATCCTCCTCCGCATGATCCCGATCCTCGCGCCGCGTCCTCATTTTCCACTACTGTGTTATCATCCTTATCTCTCTTCCCCTCCTGGCAGTCCTCTTCCTCCTCCTGCTCATGATCCTCCACCTCATGCTCCTCCACCGTCTGCTCCTCTCCCTCCTCGATGCTCCTCTCCCTCCTGGATGCTCCTCCTCATCCTCCTCCTCATCATCATCCTCCTCATTCTCCTCTTCCTCCTCCTCCATCTGATCCTCCTCTTCTTTCTCCTCCTCCTCCTCCTCCTCCTCCTTCTTCTCCTCCTCCTCCACCCCTCTCTCTCCTCATCTCCTCCTTCTCCACCTTCACCGCATCCTCCCCCTTTTCCTCCTTCTCCCCGTCCTCGTCCTCCTCCCCCTTCTCCTCCTCTTTCTCCTCTTTCTCCTCCTCCTCCTGCTCCTCCTCATGATCGTCATCATCATCTCATCCCCTCCTCATCCTGGCTTCCTCTCTTCCTCGTCCTCCCCCATCCCCCTCCCGCTCCTTCTCCTCTATCTCCTCCTCCTCCCCTTTCTCTCCCTCGTCTCATTCTCCATTCTCGTCCTCCGTCTCATCCTGCTACTGCTGCTGTTGCTGCTGTTCCTTCAACGATGATAGGGAGGTCATCGGGGCACCTCATGGGGTGGTACCCCAGTCTGAGGTCTGATGGGCCCATTCAGCAAGCGAGAGACGGGGAATGCTATGCCTTCACGATGCTCGCGGGGCGCTGGGCCAGGGGCCTCTGACGGTGTACGTATCGCGATTGTAAGGGCGCGGTCAGGTGCGCCAGAGACTGGAAGTTCGCCACGAGGGACGCGAACGTCCCCCGCCACCTCTGGCCAGCCTGGTGGGCCGCAATGGTGGACCAGGACGTGCAGGCGATCAAGGTGAAGGCCCATATTTCGGAAGAGGCGGCCAGAACCCCACTGCTCAACTTGAGACGGGCGGACAATGCAGTCGCCGACCGAATGGCCAAACGGGGCGCGAGGCTCTGGCAGGTGCCCGAGGAGGCATGGTGGTTCGCTGCGGCGTGCCGGTGGCGTGCCAAGCAGCTCAGCGGGTGGCTAGGCGACGCGGAGGACCACATCCAGCGGCACGAGTTGCGCGACCGCCAGGGCCTGGAGATTGCTCCTGCTGCAGCGGCGCGGCGGCCCCCCCGCCCTGGGAGACGAGGAGGCTGCAGAGAGGCCACGAGGCTGGGACAGGAGAGCGGCGAAGGAGAAGCTGAGACACAGGGCCGCGACGAGAAGGGCGTTTTTTTTTTTTCTCTACGCACCTCGCAGAGAATGACCAAGCCACACTGAAGTCTCAACATAGTCTCAACGCACAAGAAAATTACAGCTGAAAGAGTTGCGCGGACGCCGTGGAGCGCCCGTGGCGGCTCCGGGGCAGCAGCATCCTGATGGCTGGCAGTGCGCCGGCCAGCCACGCGTGCTCTGCTGCAGGGGCTGCGGCGCGTGTCCAGGCGCCCAGGATCTGGGGGCGCGGGCCAGCTGGCGTGCCGTGCTGGGGCCCAGAAAGGGGCGGCAGAAGTGTAGGCCAGGTGCGGCTTGCCATGGCGGCCCCACCGGCCTCGACGCGGTCGCAGCGCTCCACGGGCTCCGCGGCCCAGGGGAGGCGATGGCTCGAGGGCGCCGCGGGGCCCACGGGCCCAGGAGGAGCAGGAGCGGCGACACGAGGCGCAAGAGCCGGGCAGAGCTGCAGGGAGGTGCAGGACGCTGGCCTCGCGTCCTGCATGGGCCACCGGTGCTGGGATCAGTCTGTCTGAGTTTCGGCCGGGCGCTGCTGGGTCGCCAACGTTGGACCGGGCTTGGAAACTGGGGGCTCTATGTACCCTGGACCGAGGGTCGTGCCGAGGTGCCCTTGGCTTGCGTGCCGGCCCGGGGCCAGGCCCAGTGGGCTATGCCTGTCGTATGCTCGATCCCGCGGAGCGGGGGCCCGCCTTGTGTGGCGCAGCCTGGCTCTGACCAGGCTTCCGTGCCTTCATGCCTCCACGCCTTCATGCCTTCATGCCTTCATGCCATCATGCCTTCTCCTCCTCTTCCTCCTCCTCCTCCTCCTCCTCCTCCTCCTCCCCCTCCTCCTCTTGTTCCTGGTCCGTCCCCCTATCGCCTGGCTCGAGAGATCCTTTGGTGGATAAGCTCTAGACGAAGCTGCCGAACTCGCCACTGAACTCTTCGAGGGCCTCAGCTCCGAGTCCTCCGAAACCTGTCTCGTCGGCTCCTGTTGGGGACGCAGGTGGAAGGGGGGGAGAAAAGGGGGACAGGGGAACAGGGGTGAACCAAGGTCAAGCAAGGCGAGTAAGAAGAGCAGCAGGAACAACAGAAGGGGGATGAAGAGGATGAAGAGGAGGATGCTGCTGATGATGATGGTGATGATGATACTGCTGCTGATGATGATGATGAGGAGGAGGAGGAGGAGGAGGAGGAGTAGTAGGAGGAAGAGGCTCGTGACACAAAGGGCCCGTCCAAGGGCCGCGGACCAGCAATGTCACGATGGCCGGACAACTAACTACTTGCGAGAGCGGCGACTGCAGTGGCAAGCACGAAACAGATGCCTGGTGTGGCAAGCGTGAACTGCACACGGGCTGAACCGCGAGCTGCACGGCCCGTGCTGCTGTCTCCGATGCCACCGCGACCCCGAGAGTGGAGGTCGCGCCTGTAACAGTCGGCGTGGGAAGAGAGCGTGATGCGACGACTCCAGCCCATCACGGCGGAGCCCAGGACGCGAGGTCGAAGAGGTTCGGCGAGCAGCGGGCCGGGCCCCTGCGGCGAACATTCGCTTCCGGGGCGGACCGCAGCGGCAGTCAGTGACTTTAGGTGGCTCTGGTCGTCCAGCTGTCAGCCCAAAGAGGGGAACAAAAAGTGGCATAAGCATCAAACCTCGGAGGCCCGCGCGGCTTTCTCGGATCGGCGCTGGACCCCCCTCCCTGGCGCGCGGAGCGCGCCAGGAGCGGCGCCGGAGGCGCTGCCGGGGGGCCCCAGCGCGGATCCGAGAAATCCGCGCGGACCTCCGAGGTTTGATGCTTATGCCACTTTTTGTTCCCCTACAAAAAGACAAGGCTGGGCGACTGCCGGGAGCCTGCACCGACCAGCCACAACTGGGGGAGCTGTGGTCCTTACCCCCCTGGGGGAACCCATCGCGTCGACGGTCTCTCTCGAGGGGGGTCGAGATCGATGGGTCCCCCAGGGAGGTAAGGACCCCCCTGGGGGGTCCTGCTGCATGAGGAGGAGGAGGAGGAGGAGGAGGAGGAGGAGGAGGAGGAGGAGGAGGAGGAGGAGGAGGAGGAGGAGGAGGAGGAGGAGGAGGAGGAGGGGTCGCCTAAGCCCCCAGGAGGGACCACAGCTCCCCCAGTTGTGGCTGGCCCGCTGCAGGAGGTGGCCCGCGCGCCCAGAGGACGGTTTTGATCACAGCTCTCCTTGGGCGGCAGGCGGGCACAGCGCCGGTTTGTTTTTCTGTAGGGATCTCTGCCATGGGCCGCTCGGGTCGAGCGTCTCTAAGTCGGCCCTCGGCGTCCCCTTGGCGAGTCGCGCGCGGAGGGCGAGGGCGACAGGCCTCGGAAAAAAAATAGCGAACACTCATGCCACATTCGTCTGTGAACGCCTCCCCCTCCCCCCAGTGTTCAAAGTTGGCGGTGGGTCTGATGAGTTGCACCTCGACCGCAGTCTCCCCCGCGCGTGCCAACCAAGATTGTGTCGCTCGGATCGCACCACTGGCCCCCGAATGCTGAAGCCCAGAATGAAGACTCCCATCCATAGACAATACCTGCATACATCGAGCGGGAAGTTGGGCGATAGCTTTACTTGTCCAGTCAACTAGTAATTGGCAATGTTTGCTGTCGGCAGCAGGAGCCGATGACCAACCCACCGATATCGAGCAGCAGCCCCATGGCCCTGTAGAGACTCACGAGCCTGAGCGAACCGATGTCAACGGCACATGTTCGTCCTCAGTGCGATCACACACCCCGCCAACGAGTTGGCTCCTTCTTTCTGGGTCGTGTGGGCCTTCGTTTTTGGGCGGGTCTTCTGGGTCGGCCACCGCCACACTGTGTACGCACCGATCTTGGGGTAGAGAATCTTCAGGCTGCCTTCGAAAAAACGCGTAGTTCATACTCCGACCTGTTCCCGTCAAAATGATCACACGGTATGAACCCAATCCACTCGGTACTTCCCTCACCCTCCCCGATGTACAGATGGTGCTTGTGGGCTATACTATGTAAGCTGAAGTCGGAAGGCCTCGGGCGCGCACGCAGGGACCGAGGGCATCGCATGCGTTGTCATCGGAGTCGACCTGTGGGGAGCAAGAGAAGCACTTAGGGCTCTCATGTAGCCACTAACTCGCGTGCCATGTCGGCATGTGTGAGGATATGACGCCAGAGTGCGGAACTTGAGCCAAAGGAGGAGGAGGAGGAGAAGGAGGAGGAGGAGGAGGAGGAGGAGGGAGGAGGAGGAGGAAGGAGGAGGAGGAGGAGGAAGAGGAGGAGGAGGAGGAGGGAGGAAAAACAGCACCTCCTTGCAGCGAGCGTCCAGCCCGTTCAGCCGGCCAATGAACTTCTTATTGCCATGGGCGTGCTCCTGCTGGGGGCACTGATATGTGGAGGGGCAAGGGGGTGACGAGAACAACTAAGAGAAGAGAGAGGAGGAGGAGGAGGAGGAGGAGGAGGAGGAGGAGAGGAGGAGGAGGAGGAGGAGGAGGAGGAGGAGGAGGAGGAGGAGGAGGAGGAGGAGGAGGAGGAGGAGGAGGAGGAGGAGGAGGAGGAGGAGGAGGAGGAGGAGGAGGAGAGAGAAGGAGGAGGAGGTGGAGAACGAGGACCGCTCGGACTTCTTGGATCGGCGCTTGACCCTGGCGCCGCCCCTGGCGCGCTCCGCGCGCCAGGGGAGGGGAATTCGGCGCGGATCCAAAAACCCGCGCGGACCTCCGGAAGTGCATGCCCGTGCCGTTTCTGTGTGTGTTTCTTGTTCGAAGACTGGCGAGCGACACGTTCGACATGCCCCTTGCCCACGCCCCAGCCAACGAGGGGCCAGAACGGGGGCACGGATAGGCACGTGGCCTCTGGAGTTTTTTTTTTTTTTTTTTTTTTTTTTTTTTTTTTTTTTTTTTTATTATATATAATATATATATATTATATATATATATATATAAAAAAAAAAAAAAAAAAAAAAAAAAAAAAAAAAAAAAAAAAAAAAAAAAAAAAAAAAAAAAACTTGTATAAGTGCCCTGACCATTTGGCATCCAGAGTTCGAGGCAGCAGTGAAGGCACAGATGAGGCGTCGATCACCGAGAGGAGGTTCCTTGACGACCAGAGCGGCTCCAGCGCAGGGACAAGAGACCACCTGCAGCGAATCGGACCCCCAACTGGCGAAGTGCACGAGGATGGCCAGTGGGCCGCTCCTCCCGCCCAAGGTCGCAGACGGCTGACAAGGTCACGAGACATCCATACCCGGGCCCGTGGCCAGATCATCAATCCTGTCTCAGCGCGCGGCCAGGCCGCGCCGAAAAAACACGACTGCCCCCGCGAACGAATGTGTTTTGGATGTTTGTTTATGTGTTGTGTGCTGTTTTTTTTCCCTCTCTCTCTGTCTCTCTCTCTCTCTCTCTCTCCCTCTACGAGGGCGCCGAGCCGGGAGGATTTGGCTCACAGGGGGAACGCCGGGGAAACGTTTTTTGGGGGGGTTGTTTGTTTACGTGTTGTGTGTCGTGTTTTTTTTTTTTCTCTCTCTCTCTCTCTCTTTCTCTTTCTCTCTTTCTCTCTCCCTCTACGAGGGCGCCGATCTCGGGGGGATTTGGCTCACGGGGGGAAGCGCACCGACCCCCAAGCGCCCATCTATCGCCGATGGGGCTCGATGGCCCCGAGCCCCGCGCGGGAGCGCGCGCCTGCACACCGCACACCCGGGGGGGCCCGCCGCCGGCCCCTCGGCGGTGCCTCGCCGCTTGCAGGGCCACGCTCCCCCTCCCCGGAGCCGTTGCCCCTCCGATCGTTGCCCCATCGTCCCTCCCTCTCCCTTCCTTTATTCCTCTCTCTCTCTCTCTTCCCTAGGAAGCAGGATAAGGAGGAGAAGGAGAAGGAGGAGGAGGAGGAGAAAGAAGAAGAGAAGGAGGAACAAGAGCAGGAGGGGAAAGAGAAGGAGGAAGAGCAAGAGGAGGAGGAGGAGGAGGAGGAGGAGGAGGAGGAGGAGGAGGAGGAGGAGGAGGAGGAGGAGGAGGAGGAGAGGGGAGGAGGAGGAGGAGGAGGAGGAGGAGGAGGAGGAGGAGGAGGAGGAGGAGGAGGAGTGCGGGTAGCCCGAGGCGAGCGTGTCTCTATCTCTCTCTCTGTCTCTCCCCCCCAGGAAGCGGATCCTGTAGGTGATGGTCGCTGCGGGCCACCAGCTCCACCGGTGGGACCAGCGAGACCTCCGCCCCCAGCTCCTCCTGGGAGAGGGCGGGAGGAGGAGGAGGAGGAGGAGGAGGAGGAGGAGGAGGAGGAGGAGGGGGAGGAGGGAGGACGAGGAGGAGGAGGAGAAGGGGGGGGGGGGGAGGAGGAGGAGGAGGACCAGAGCAGGAGGAGGAGGAGGAGGAGGAGGAGGAGGAGGAGGAGGAGGAAGAACTGGAGGAGGAGGAGGAGGAGGAGGAGGAGGAGGAGAAGGAGGAGGAGGAGGAGGAGAGGAGGAGGAGGAGGAGGAGGAGGAGGGGAGGGGGGAGGAGGAGGAGGAGGGGAGGAGGAGGAGGAGGAGGAGGAGGAGGAGGAGGAGGAGGAGGAGGAGGAGGGGAGGAGGAGGAGGAGGAGGAGGAGGAGGTGGAGGAGGAGGAGGAGGAGGAGGAGGAGGAGGAGGAGGAGATGATGGATGATGATGATGATGATGATGATGATGATGATGATGATGATGTGATGATGATGATGATGATGATGATGATGATGATGATGGAGATGAGGAGGAGGAGGAGGAGGAGGGAGGAGGAGGAGGAGGAGGAGGACGAGGAGGAGGAGGAGGAGCCAGAGCAGGAGGAGGAGAAAGAGGAGGAGGAGGAGCAGGAGGAGGAGGGGGTGCAGGAGCCAGAACAGGAGGAGGAGGAGCAGGAGGATGAGCACGAGGAGGAGAGGCAGGAGGAGGAGGAGGAGGCGAAGCAGGATAAGGAGGAGGACGAAGAGGAAAAAGAAGAGAAGGAGGAACAAGAGCAGGAGGGAAACTATAAGGAGGAAGAGCAGGAGGAGGAGGAGGAGGAGGAGGAGGAGGAGGAGGAGGAGGAGGAGGAGGAGGAGGAGGAGGAGTGCGGGTAGCCCGAAGCGGGCGTGTCTCCTGAGGCTCCGCCGCCGTGCGCTAGGCGGAGAATTTGGCTAGCGCACGACGAGAGCGCGGGCAGCAGCCAGCAGTGCGTTGGGCTGGCTGGCCGTGGCCTCTCTGTACTTGTCGTAGAGACGGAGCGCAAGCACGATGCGTCGGATGGTGGCTTGGGGCGACAACTCGCTCGGCACAGGCGGGTCGGTTGCTGGGGGGCCCAGCCCCCAGCGCGTCAATGTACTGAGGAGAAGTGGAGGGTCGGGGGACCAGAGGAGGCGCAAGAGGCGAGGACAGGAGAGGTAGTGTGGGGGAATGAATCTGGCTGCTCGCTGCAGCCGAAGACACAGCTGCGGGGAACGGGCACATGCATGCGGGCGGTGGTCGTCCACCCGCCAGCTAGGGTCTTGAGCGTCGCCCAGCGCCAGCTCGGGCGAACGCTGCGCAGTGCACCCGCGAACGACTCCCATCGCTCGGCCAGTAGAGCAAGTTCAAGATGTAGGCCCCGCGCGCCGACCCGCTTTGTGAGGGTGACAGTGAATGGCGATGCGAATGCAACCTGGCGCAGGGATGCGGCAAAGGCACGCTGGAAAGGGCGGCAGCGCGGCGGATGAGCTTCCAATGCCAAAGCCTTGTCCGCCAGCGCTGCGCGGTGAGCTTCTTGCACCATGGTTGGTGTGAATGGGGGTGTGCGCTGCGCGTCTCGCAGCTGGGCATAGTACTGCACAGTGGCGCGCGGTTGCTCCCAGCAGCTGGGAGACCTCAGCCCGCCCAGCCAACGATGGAAATAGTGAAGTGGACTTTCCTCCCATGCCGCGTCGCGGAGGCGAGTGAAGTGGGGGCCCCATAGCTCTGCCAACGTATGAGACGCAGAGCGGGTGGCAGCTGCGACAGACATGACCTGCAGCGCTCGAACCACTGGTGGCGATGACTAATCCGCCATCGCGAGAAGGTCTACCTTGCGGGATGTGTTCGGCGGCAGACCTAGCCTAGTGTGGAAAATGTATTGCTCGCGGTGTACAATGGATGCGGGGGCTGGGGATAACTGGCTCCCATAATTTAAACTAGAAAGCGCCGGCGTGTTGTAGAGACGAACCGTGGCGTCGCTTCCAGACAGCACATGCTGAAGCGAACGAACGCGCTGCCACCATTTCTGCCCAAGGGCGTGCCATTGGTCGGCCAGGGAGGCTGACGGGCCGAGGAAGATCCTGAGGTATTTGGCGCGGCCCCCGATCGAAAACGAGCGCCAGGAGGGCGCGAGCGCGGCAAGCAGGTCCTGGGCGCGGGCAATGGTGGCAGGCGGCGCTGCTGCCCAAGGAGGGGCAGCTACACAACCGCGAGGCTTAAGCGAGAGGGATGCGAGGCGTGCGGCGACACCAGAGGCTCCGATGTGATCGCACATGATGCCCAGGTCGTCCGCCCATGCGCCCAGGTAGCTCGTCGAAGAAGCACCCATGTTGTCCAGGTCAATGGCGGCGGCGATGTGGCGGACCAGCGGGCCCATCGCAATCGCCCAAGCGGGCCCGCTCGCTGGGCAGCCCTGGGCAACGCCCGACTCGATCGCGAACGTGGGGTGGCGTTCGCCGTCGGCCTTGACTGATGAGGTGGGCGCGTAGTATATGGCCTCGAAAAGATGCATGTGGCCCGTCGGCAGTCCGAAGCGGCGCAGCGCCTTGAAGAGCCACGTTCTGCCAAGAGATGGGGATGCCACTGCGAAGTCGAATGATGAAGATGGGGTGGCGCCCCATAGCGTCCCCCAGGAGGCCGACACGACAAATTGCTGCGTCCAGTCGCACGATGTGCTGCGTGAAGTTCCTGCCCATGACGAAGCCCTGCCGCGCTTTGTGGCCGCCTTGTGGATCCGCTCGGCCACGAACGGCTTTATGAAATGGTTCGCGGCGCCTGCGATGCCCTTGATGTCCGTGTTCTTCAGCGAGAGTGTCCGCGTGTCTTCGGGCAGGCGATCCGTTGTGAGCTCGCCCAGGAGTTTGTCGCCCTTCGGGGGGTATGCGAAGTCCGAGTCGTCCAGGTCGCGGGGGATCGAGTGCCCCGAGCAGAGGTGGAGAGCCACGTCCTCCAGGATGGAGAGCGAGTGGTCGTGGGCGATCCGCGAGTTGCACGGCGAGCTGTCTGGGCCAGGCGCATACGAAGATGTCCGCTTGAGAATGGCCCGCAGTTGGCGCATGGATGGCGGCAGAATGTCCAGCTTCTCCCCCTGCAGCATGCGCGTGTCGACGCATGCGTGGACGGCGTCGGAGTCGACGGTCTTGCGGGAGGAGACGGGGCGCCAGCGGTTGCGCGGGGCATCGACCACGTTGCCGCTCAATCTGGCTACGGCAGCAGGGCCACCTAGGCCCGTGGTCTTAATCCCCTGGAGAACAAGGCGGCGCTTCCAGGAGGCCCAGTGGACGTCGCGCTCCTGAGAGACCCGCAGCGCCCTCTGGAGCTTCTCAGGGGGCGAGGCCTCAGCGTGGCTCCGTGGGAGCCTCTCTGCCCGTTGTGCCCGAGAGCGCTGGCGCGCCTCGAAGTCACGGTGCAAGGGGGGCGAGATGCTCGCGACCTGGGCGTCGTCGGTGGGCTTGAGGGTCGGGGAATCGATGTCGAGGAAGCGCTTCCCCAGCTCAGTAGTGGAACGAAGCCGTCGTGCCAGCTGGACGTCCTGTCGCCAGCTCGCCCGCGAGATCGAGCGCACGGGGGTGGCCCTGCCGCCCAAGGAGCCTGACTTGGAGAGGTCATCCGAACTGAGGCCGACCCAGTCGTCACGGACCACGCGAGCAGCTTCTGACATGCAGCGCTTGTGCAGGCGCCAACGCGTCTCGATGGGAAGGCGCGGCGTGCCCGCAGCGCCAATGATGTTCTGCAAGTAGGTGGCGTAGTTGGGGTCGCGGAACACAGCTGGTGGAATGGTTTGCTCGACTTGTAGCGTGCGCGGCTTGATGCCGATCGGGAAGGTGATGATGGCGCGGTTGCTGAGGCGCTTGTCAGATGAGATGGCGGGGTCGTGCAACACATGGACAACCATAGTGAGCTCCTGCGTCGCGTGGGAGGGGAGGCTGATGAACGCGCGGTCGATGGAGGAGGCTGCGTAGTCTGCCTTGGTGAAACGCGCGGGGAGCTCGGACTCGACCTCCAACATGGAGGCGAAAAGGGCCTTCCAGAAGGGCTGCTGCTAGCGGTTGTCGTTGTCCAGCTGGGGGCGCGCGCGCATCGCCCGGGGCTGGTTGAAGCAGCTCGGCGGGCGGCTGGCGGCGTTGAAGTCGCCCGTGGCCAGGAGGGTGCGCATGGTGTGATCACGCGCCGCCCATTCGCGGAGCATGTGCCATGCTGTGCGGACCCTGTCGCGGTCACGCGCTTGTAGTTCACGGTTGTGGATGCTCATGATGGCAAGGGAGTGGCCTGTGTTCGCATTGCTGATGACATGCTGCTGGATGCGCCCAGGCACCAGCGAGACATGCTCGAAGGCGGGAAGCTGGAGGGGGCGGAGGCGCTCCAGCTGCGTTTGCGCGAACCACGGGATGAATATAGCAACGCCACCAGTCGGGGAGGGCGCCTCGCGTTCGGTGTCTCTCGCGAACTCGGCGAGGAAGAGCTTGCACGGGCACGTTTGCGTGTCCGGCCAGGTGCGGAAGAGCACCTCGGAGCCGTGGACCTCCTGTAGCAGGATGACGTGCTTGCTGCGCATGCACTTGATGAGGGCTGCTTGCTTGCGGCGCAGCCTGCGGGGCCCGGGGCACACGAGGGCGCGATCGTTCCAGCTGATGAAGAAGGGCGGCATGGAAGCGTCCACCTCGCGCCACGGGGCCCACGGGTGGTTGGAAACACCGCGTTGCTGCCTCTGTGTCCGCGAAGAGGGCCAGGAAGGCTGTTCGGATGTCGCCGCGATTGAGGCCGTTGAGATCAGGGTTCGCCAGCGCGCGCTCGTTCCATTCGAGGATGGCGTGCACTCTCCATCTCGCACTTCGCGAGGGTCACGTTGCTCGACAGTGCGATCGCCTAGGTGCGCGGCAGCCATCAGTTCGGGGAACACGTCAAGACTGCACGCTTCCCCATCGCCGTCTGCGTGTCCGCGGAGAAGCTCCGCGCGCACATCGCCAGGATCAGCCACAATATCTTCCCCAGCTGCTGCGAGAATAAAGTCTCAATCATCGCCGGAGC